TTTAAGGCCTCAGAATCTGGAGATTTCAGATTCTGTAGGGAACCACTTAGGACGTATATTTGATTTTGAGACTTGGCAGATGAACTAGTTCCCCTCTAGTAATAGTAGCTAGCTTTGTGCTACACATTAGGGCTTGATCCTGCAAAGATTCATATATATAACTTAACTCATGTGAATAATGGGGCAATTTAATGTAAGTGAAGTTACACGTATACTTAAGCCTTTGTGGGGTCATGGTCTATATGCCCCAATACATCCCCAGTACCTTTGGCTTTGAGACCTAAGGATAGCTCCAATGAAGGACTAACATGCCTAACATTCTCAACCTCTGGGGTGAAGCCCAGGACTATATTTTAGAGATCTAGGTTCCTTATAAATTTGGTAGGTAGAGTAATATCCTTAAAATGGGGCATGCTGGGCAGAGAACTGGCTGAAGTCAGCATGCTTAGTGGAAAGCCATCTAAAATTAGCCAATAGGGAATGTTGTGTGCCTGTAAAATCCTGTTCCTTTCTGGAGCTTAGGTGCTTTTGTTCACTTTAGGATGCGCAGCTCTGAACTCTCTCCTGAAGACAGGTGCCTGTCTTCCCACCCCCCCGCCCCAAAATAAGTAGAACTTGCTCTTTTTAAAAAATTGCAGCCAGAAGAAGTGGTTGTTTACATCTTTTACAGAATAGTCTAGTAGTGAAGGCACATGCCCAGGAAGTGGGTTCAATTCTTTAGCCTCAGGGACTTCAATCCTGTATCTCTCCAGTCCTGAGAAAATGCCCTAATCATCAGGCTATGGGTTATTCTATGGGGCTCTCTTGATCCCTCTTGAGGAAGCTGTGCCATTGGGCAGAAGGGAATGTAAGATTGATTGGTCCAAAGAGAGGCAACATGGTGCTGGGATCTAGTGGTTAGGGAGCTCACTTGGCATCCTGGGTTCATTCCTGTCCTTCACTTCCAGTGCTGTTTCTGCATTTTATCTCTTGACTGTTTAATGTAAAAGTACAGAAATGGTCTTAGGATCAGGACCTGTCTCCCCAGATTAATGCTATAAAAGAAATTGGCAGTCACAGCTGCATTTTTTATGTTGTGCTTGATCCTGTCAGTGTGCGCTCTGGGAATGCTGACTGGATTGTGCCCTCTCTGGGGACTTGGGCAGAGCAACACCTACTTTTCTGGATCCTGATTTGGCTTTGTAGTGAGTCAGCTAGATCTTGGCTGCCTAATACTGTCAAGAACAATTCTGGGCATCTGTTCAACACTTTGTGGCTAGGGAACTTTAAGGCAGAGTTTAGGTGGCATCTGATCAGGAGTTTTTCAGGACTATGATTTTGGATTAGGGTCCCGGTATTCTTCCTGAATCCTTTTTTTTTGAGGGAGGGAGGGATTGGGGGGGGGGTCGAGGATCTAAACAAAGACCAAGCTTTAATGGCAGTTGCCCCTATTTATAAGGTGGAGAAATTTTTTTATGATAAAAGGATCTCTTTTCTTTACCATATGCAGGACAGCCACTTAAAGGTGGCTAGCAACTTAGAGCAGTATTTTTTCGAAATCTACCACCTTTTTAAAAAACAAAGTACCACTTTATTTTTGTTATGTATATGACAACACTCAGTATGTAAATCTATCAGTCTCTTTGTACATATACTGCACACAATAACAGGGAAAGGAATATGTTTAAGTATAGTTTTTAAAAGCTACTTATGATGTTCTTGTTTTAATTGATTGGATT